GCATTTGATTTTCCAGTGAGGGTGGCTTTCAGGGTCTCTTGGCTTCAATACTGTACACACAGAATTTCAGTGACAGATCTTGGTTAAAATAACAACAACAATAACAACCCCTCATCTATTATATTGCAGCCCGGCAATTTAACTTAACTTAATTTCACTGCATATAGATAGCAACTTAATTTAAATTAATTTCACTGCATATAAACAGCAACTTAATTTACATTAACTTCACTGCATATAGATAGCAACCCTATACTCCATGCAAACTCAAATGGCAGTGGAATTTATGTAGTGAAGAAAGTGACAAATTATTTTCCAAATTTAAAGGAAACTTAAGGTTTTATAGGGAAACAAATAGAGGTAAAAATATTTTTAATCCTTCTTTTTCTGACAATTGTGTTCTGCTCTTATAAATAGAAAGCTCTCCTTTCATTATTTTATAATATAGTGAGGTTTATCAGGCACATGTATGAAAATTGTGTAGTAAAGGTAGGTTTGTGTCCACTTGGTTGGTTCATTCGACTTAGACACATCATTTACTTTATCTCAAATGGTTATTTTTTAAGCCTTGGTTTTGTACAACATGTAAAGGCGTCAGTCTTTGTGCAATATTTGGTCTTCATTCAAGTAACTTTTCTTTGTGTCTCTGCCTTTGTTTCTGCATTGCTCCTGTACTTCTGTGAACCGTATTTCAGTGAGTAATGATGACAATGGCAGCCATGCCGTCTCCCATTCTTACCACCGGATGTGAAGAAATTCTAGATGCGATCCAGCCAATCTGTACTCGACTCTCAGTTCCATCTTCTCAACTCACAGTGTCTTCCAAAGTCCATGCCACACCACAGCCTGGAAAATCTCCCAAAGCAGTATCTTGAGGCAATGGTAGAGCTCATGTCACAGCATTGTATGTCTCAGGTATCACCGTCCTTCCCTGTTTGATATAGTCTCTCTTACAAACCGTTGTTCCATACACTTTGCCCCTTTTGTGTTTGTTTATATGTGTGGTATGGCATGTCTTAACCTCACAGTGAGGGTATTAGCATAGAGTTTTGCATATCTAGAGGTGTGGATCCTTGGGAAGCATCTTAGAACCTACCTGTCACATCAGGTCCTGTCTAATCTGTATCAGTTTGTGGGTCTTCACTTATTTTTTTGACCTTGATCCTAGTGAAAAGAACTTGTCAGGTGTTCCATAGGATGTATCACAATATGGATTTGTTATATTTTTTCATAATTTGACTTAGATTAAACATTAATTTATACACATATTTATCTAACGTTGAAGACAAAAATCCTGAACAATATATTATTTAGAAATACAAATTTAGAAAATAATAAAGAAGAATGAGGCTGGGCCCGGTGGCTTATGCCTGTAATCCCAGCAATTTGGGAAGCTGAGGTGGGTGGATCACTTGAGACCAGGAGTTTGAGCCCAGCCTAAGTAACATGATGAAACCCCATCTCTACTAAAAATACAAAAATTAGCCGGGTGTGGTGGTGCACACCTGAACGT